CCACCCCCCTCGCCAATAACGCTCCGCATCCCCCCCCCCCTTGCCAGCCCTTCCCTGCACCTGCCCACCCACCCCCATTCCCCGCGTTTGGCTGGCTGGGGATGATGGAACCTGGAGTCTCCCCTTCCGGCTCCCCTCACCGACTCCCGCTCCTCCGCGGCCTCGCTGGGGCTCCGCGACATGCCGGCGACGCGACGAGGGTCTCGGGCGGAGAAGCCCACCACAATCGCGCTCCCCACTCCTCACACAAACCTCGCGCTGGCTCCGCCCCCGAACTTCCGCCCGGGCTCCATGGCAACCGCCCGGGCAACCGCCGGCGGAGGACCCGGATGGACGCACGAGCGGCCGCGCCTGCGCAGAACCGCTTTCTGGGTCTGCCTGGGAAGGCCGCAGTGTTTTGACCCATCCCCCGCTAGAAACCCCGGCCCCGAATCCGCCCGTGACACTCGGCTGCGGACGATGGGGGATGGGAGCCCAAATGTGTCCAGAAAGCTCCCGGCGGGAGGGGAAGGCAAGGCAAATCCTGGTGCCGTCAGGGCGGAGCGAGATTCCCTTCTGCGCATGGGCGGGCCGGGAAGGGCGGGGACTATCCCGCGCCTGCGCAGAGAAGTCGAGCCCCTGTAGTTCGCAGGCGGGAATTTGCTGTTGCTGGTTGCAACTTCTCTGTTCGCTTTCCACGGCTCGTTTTTCTTGCATCTATTGCAACCGGGCTTGCATCTGTTGCAATCCCGGGCTGTTGCAGGAGGTTCTCTCCCTCTGCCTCCCTTTGGAAGCCCCCATAGGAATCCTATATTGGGGCCCGGGTCGCCTCTTCCTGGCCCCTTCCCCAGCAACGCTGCTTCAATTCCCTGCGCGAAAAAGACAGGATGGCATTCAGACGATCGGGGCGGACGCGTGTCTGCACCAAACGGGGGGTGTCAGCCTAGCTTGCAGTGGGAGCTTTAGTTTAAAAAAAAAAGTTTGAAAAAGTTTCCCACCAGGGCACCAGCCTCTCTATAAACTCTGAATATTCGCCTTTTTTCCCCCTTTTCTTTCTGGGGTTTCGCCTCTTTTTCTTTTTCCTTTTTGCAAGGACACCCCGCCGAGGCTCTTGGCTCCCCATGGACGCAAAATGTTCCCAGCTTTTGCCTTCCGTTTGCGCCGTCCTGGCTGATCCCGGGCGCCCCGTGGCGGACGACACGTGCCTGGAAAAACTGTTGGACTGGTTTAAGGCTCTGGCCAGCGCTGGTGAGTTGGCCCTTAGCTTTGCATGGGGGGAAGAGGGGGGTTTCTGCGAGGGTGCATCCTTGGGATGCTGGAGGAGGGCAAGCGATGGAGACATTGCAAAGAGTAGGGTTGGCATCTGGAGAATCAAGACATGGGCATCATCCTCTTGGCTTGCTTAAGATTCTAAAGTTTGGAATTGTTCATTTAGCACAGTGTTTCTCAACCTTGGCCACTTGAAGATGTCTGGACTTCAACTCCCAGAATTCCCCAGCCAGCGAATGCTGGCTGGGGAATTCTGGGAGTTGAAGTCCGGACATCTTCAAGTGGCCAAGGTTGAGAAACACTGCTAGCTGTTAGGATATGTCTTTTTCCCAGCCAACATTGCTAGCCAACCACGAAAGGGAAGAGCATCGCTGGCTGGGGAATTCTGGGAGTTGAAGTCCGGACATCTTCAAGTGGCCAAGGTTGAGAAACACTGCTAGCTGTTAGGATATGTCTTTTTCCCAGCCAACATTGCTAGCCAACCACGAAAGGGAAGAGCATCGCTGGCTGGGGAATTCTGGGAGTTGAAGTCCGGACATCTTCAAGTAGCCAAGGTTGAGAAACACAGCTTTAGCATCTATCTAAGCTGGAGGTCTTCAAACTTGGCAACTCTTAAGACGTGTGGACTTCCAACTCCCAGAGATCAAGAGACCCCTGCATGGGTGGTTTCTGCCAGAGATGGGGAAACAAACACCATTTTAGGGCAAAAATAATTTGCCAAAAATGACTGCAGGACGCCTGGCACGGCTGCGAATTCAAGCTGGTATGTGTGGTCAAAACCAAGTCATAAGCAGAGGGTCGCCATTAACTTGGACTGGCATTAAATTGAGAACTACCTGTATTGTTTTTCCCCCCTCCCCTTTCCTTCCCCCCCCCTCTAGGGCCTGG